GAGAGAGAGAGAGAGAGAGAGAGAGCAAAGTGACACGCACAATCGAACTCCGACCTCAGCCCTGCGGGTCATCTCACGAGGCAACTCCCATGCCGAGCGGCCCACACCCCCGCTACTACTGCTAACTGTACATGCCCCGAAACTGTGGCACACGCCACTGGTCTCACGTCCCCACCCACGGAAAAAAGGCCCGGCAGGGAAGATCAAGAAGGCCATAGCACTTGACAGTTTTCTGGAGAACCACAGGCTTACAATTTTCAAAGACGTCGAGTCGTTCTGCAGTGTTCCTCTCTCACACACTCTCTCTCTCTCACACACACACACGCACTCTATGTCTGTCTGTCTCTCTCTCTCTCATACGCGCTGCTTTTCGGTTCTAAACTCAGTGACGAGTGAAGAAAAAGTGTCGACCTGGCGTTGCGCGGGATCTGACGGCTTTCAGGCGTGGTGTCACCCTAGCACAGGTGTGTTGAATATTACTTTGCGTAGTATATTATGTATCCGCTACCAGGTGAAACATCGCTCCTATTAGGATTCTACCCCCTTCTTTTCCGCGCTGTGTCAACACGCCGTTTTAATGTGCCTTCCATTTTGCCTCTGGAACTGAAATGAAAGTAAAACCAAAACGAAAACTAACCCTCACCGGAGACGGAGCATACAGATAACGCTTTGCTTGCTTTCCAACCTATCCCAAGTCTTTATTTTTATGCGATTTGCTTTGCTGTTAAGCGCGAGAAAGTAGAATGCCATAAAAGGCAAAAATTGCAGCAGACGAGGTACTTCCAAGTTTTGTTGCGTATGCAGCGCGACCGCACATTGGTCCGGGAAAGTACAGTGTCTCCGAATTGTGATTTTATATATTTATTAAATTTTTAAATTATTATTTTAGATAATATATTTTGCAGTGACAGGATTTCGCTGAGTGATGACAATGTGTTAGATACGCCAGTGTTCTGTGTGAGTACATTCTCGAAGGATTGAGTTACGTCGGTGTTCAAGGACAGGTCAGAGAACGGGTCTGTCCGCTGGTCACTCAGGGTGGTCTAATCGATTTCCAGATGATTTCATTATACTGCCCAGTGGGGGTGCATGTGGTTTGTGTGAGCACTTACTAAGTTAGGCACTGTGCTCATCACGCAGGCACTGTGGACTCTAGGATCATCAAGGCTCTACCGGACATCACTGAGATATAATGCGATTGGGCTTCATATAGATTCTGTACGTCGTGTTTGACTATCGTATCCATACGATGTGGGAAACTCTGTGCCATCACTTTACAAAGAGGAAATTTACAGTTTAATCCGATCCGTGCGCTTTGCATAGCAGTCTGTCTAATTTTTTTTTAAATCTTTTTTAGAAATACTGAAAGTTTCAAAGAGATTTTCTAATTAGAATTATTCTAAAATGTGAAGAAATACAACCCCGGGGTACAAAATGACCCCAGGGCGTACGGATAGGGTTAAGAAAAAGTTTTAGTGGTGTAGTCGACGTCCTCAAAGCCCCCCCCCCC